GCTTTTGAAATCTCCATTCAAAGGGGGTTAATCAGCGGCAGCTTCTGCCAGGCTCTTGTCAGAGACGCGGGTGCTCCTTCCAGGCTGACAGCTGCAGCCTTATTTCCCAGGCTGCGCAAGCGCCTTCTTTCACCCCACTCCATTTCTTCATCAGAAATGCAATAAACGAGGACTCCCTGGGAGGGTGAACGAGAAGCCTAATAACTGCCGAAGCCGGTTTTCAAGAATGCGCGGCCAGATTGCTCTCCTCTCCCTCGCAGAGCCCACACAGGATGCGAGCGCCATTTGCAAAAGCGTGTCTTGACGCTTACATTTATGCCAGTGAAGCTCACAGGCCTGTACCTTCCTTCCTTCCACCTTCCTTCTGTGAAGCTCCAGGCAGCTCACCCGCTCATGTGCCCCACTTGCTCTGCGCAGCCCTGTGAGCCAGGCCGGGTGCAGAGCCAAGCCTCATCCAAGGCTCGCCCAAGAGCGCCACGCTGGAGGGGGGCGTGAACCAGGCCCCCCCGATCCTCAGCCGAGACCCTCATGGCTTGCACTGGCTCTCACTCGCGCGGGGAGGCCAGAACCAAGGGCACAGCCCCAGCGTGCTGAGGCGATCCGGGGAACGCCTGCTGGCCCAGCAGCACCTAAGCAGCTTCCTGCACTGCAGGAGGTGGGGCTGGTTCAGGAGGAAGGGCCCCCCTGGGCTTCCCTGCAACAAGAGAGCTGCCATCAACAGGCAGCCCCTGTCCACACTTGGTGCCTGCAAACAGCCCTGAAGCATCTTCCTCCCAGTTTAAACCAAGCGCTGGTCTCTCCGTATCATCCAGACATGGAATCGAAGTTCCTACAAACAGGTTTCAGCTGGGCTCTTGGCAAGCACTTTGGAGAATTTGCCTACAGTTCTCAGGGAGCGGCAAACTAAGCAACCGACTCAGTTCGATTTTATGGCCTTGTCCAAGAAAGTCCCAGGAAAGAAAAAGCGCCTGCCCTTAACAGCCCCGCAAAAATGCCGCAGCAGCAAAAGGATACTGGATCACAGGACATGGAATAATCAGCTCAAGTTGCAACAACCCAGATTCAGGCAAGATGTCAGGAAATGGTCCCTCACGCTCAGAGCAACGCAGTTGTGAAACCAGCTGCCTGGAGAGGTGGTGGGCTCTCCCCCACTGGAGGCATTCATGGTGAAACTGGGCAGCCATCGGAGTGGGGTGGGGTAACTGGGAGCCCCTGCCACCGCAGGGGGTGGGCCTGATGGCCCCTCCCATCCATGCAAGATGGAGCACAACGATGGGCTGCACATGGCCGGCCTGTGCGCTCTGGCCCAGCACTAACTAACAACCCTGAGCTGCCACACTAAGTGCCATCACGAAGGCAAGCTGCGAGCCTGCAGATGCAGTGCTTAACGCCAGCCAATTACAGCCAATGAGCTCTGGGACCGAGCAAGAGCCATCCGTGTGCATTTTGAGAACATGCGCTTATTCATCCAGGAGGCTAATGGTTCCAAAGGACCCATTATGGTCTTGGGCATAACGATCGTTGGCCAGCAGGCGCCCTCCCCGTGGAATGGGCCGGCTGCTCCCCATCACGCGATCGTGCTCAGCCACACGGCTCCGCGCCGAGGCACCTCGTCCACCTCAGCTGCAGCACTGGCCACCCAGAGCCTACCTAGCTAGCCAGTGGCTATTCGTGGGGCAACGGCGGTGCTCCCGGTGCACTTCAGCGGAAGAACGGAGGAGCAGCCTTAAGCAGAGAGTTTGCAAGCAGGACACGGGTGCAACAGCTCCCTTCTGGTCATGCTCCCCAGTGGCTGGTCTACACAGGCACCCAAACGCTACGTAGTTTGGTGTTGTCGGCAAACTTGCCCTCTTCCTCATTCACTCAGAATTCCAGATCATTTATAAATATGTCAAAGGCACTGGTTCCAATTTGGATCCCTTTAGGACTCCACCATTTTATCACCCTCCATCACAAGAATCCCATTCGTTAAAGCACAGGCACGAGTCTTTGCTACTTTGCAGTGATGAGAGGAAAAGCACCCAGCTTTTCCATAATCACCTTATCCTCCTTTCATACTCCTTTAACTCGATTATCATCCAATAGTCCAACCCCTGGTGCTTTTCTGCCCCTCTCACAGTTTATTTAAAGAATTCTTCATTGTCAAACTCGACATTGTGAGTGATATGCCCCTCACAACACAAACCTAAAAAAATCCAGGATGCAGCCCAAAGAAGAACAGTCCTGAGGTAATTTCTCCCTTCTGAGCAGAGGAAACGCATTAAGGTAAAGAATCATTGGTAAAGATGTGAAATTACCCCAGAGGGCAGGGCACTGGTTCTGGATAAGCAGCCTCTCTGGATTTCACTGGAGACTTCCCTGTTTTGGTCAGGAACGGTCCCTAAGAAACTTCCTGAAAAAAATGTACTTTGAGGGCTGAGAGACAGAAAATATGCAGAACCCTTTGTTCTGTGCATTTATCCATTCCAACTTTATCCATATCTTTACTTATTTATCATATTTGTATGCTACCCCTTCAGCTATGGGGCAGCATACAAATGCAATAAACAAACAAAGAAATCAGCATATTTTGGGCTCCTGGCCAGCACAAGTCCCAGAGGGAATGCTGACTGATCTGTCCCACGGATAGACAACCAGGGAGCCTGGCTCCCCAAGGCCGCTGGGCTGCGCTTCCGCCATTCCTCACTACATACTCTGCCTAAGGTCTCATCCAAGTCTCCCTTTGGGCATCACCTCACCCCAGGTGGAAGACAGCAGGAGCACTCCTAGGGCATGAATCTGAAGTCTGGCTTTGCCCAAGGTCGCTTCCTCCCCCTGCTTTAATTCTGAGAACAGACTGGGCCAGACTGCAGGCCCTGTGGTCGGCCTGTGGTGATGCTCCCGGGGCGAGTATCACGGGTGGGACCCTTACCCGATGGGCTCCCTCTGGACTGGCTCTTTGAAGAAGCTGGGCTAATGCCCAGTGCGAAGGGCCACCAGGGGAGAAGCAGGCCGAGAAACTAGAGGAAGCTCAAAAGTCGGGATCCTGTGCTCCCGCTGGCCCCTGCCCCCAACCCTTCTGATGACCGTGCCTTGGGACCAGCCCGAGTGCAACGTCCCTTGTTGAAACCAGCCTCTCCAGAGCCCCTGTCACACTGCCGCTGCCACTGCCTCTGACTTGTGGGATCGCAGCCTCTCTGACCTTTCTCATTCGGAGAAGCCCATTCTGACAGTCTGCACAGACAGTCGGTGCCTGCCCATGGCCTAGTTTAAGCTCGGGATTCTGCCTCTGAAAGAACAAAGCTCATTTCCTCATTGTACTGTTCTGTCTGCAGGCTCTGGAGATTCTAATTGATTTATATGCTGGCAGTTCAATTACGATTGCGCGACCAAATTGCCTCCCCCAAAGTCACGAGAGCAGATTTTAAATCCTAGCTTGTGCAGAATACATCTTACATTGTTGAAGAAGCTTGTGTGTGTGTGCGAACCAGCGAGCTCTGCTTTGCCCAAGACACAGACCTGGGTTGCACCTCACAAGTTCAGAGGCTGGACCCACAATCCCTGCATCCAGCAAGCAGGAGCTGCCACCATGTTGTGCAAAGCAGGTCACCACCACCCGCGGTGAGAGGCCCCGACCTGACAGAACGCCGGCCCTGTGCTCACACGAGGCATCTCGCTTGTGCTCACAGGGGCACGGTCAGTGCGGAGAGCAGAAAGAGCTACGGCAGACCCTGCACTTGGCTCCCCAACAGCCTGAACGGCCTGACGACGAGAGGCACACAGAGAACAACAAGGGGCTCAAGGAACAAGCCAAGATATTGGCCAGAGACTAATTGGATGGGTTGAAGTCAAAGGCAGCAGACAAGCGCATTCATTCACGCACGGAACCTGCCGGCGGAGGAACGGGGCGGCCTTCACATTAATGCGCGGAAGGGCAGGCCCCTTGTCCCCCTTGCAATTAAACCGAATCAGCACGACGGCAACAGCAACGGAACGCACAATCGCCGCCAACCTGCATGCCAAAGAGGGACGATTCTTACATAAGCCCCGCGCTGGCGTCTCGCTCAGGACGACACACACAAGAGGGCTGGATTGGACCGTTGGCCTGGCCCAGAAACAGGGAGGGACGCTCTGTGCACGGACTGCACAGGCAAGAGGCAGTGTCCCCGGGCGGCGACATTCCGCAGTGCTCTCACTCCCTGAACCTTCTGAGGCACGTGCCCCTGAGCGGGCAGAGGCCTTTGCCGTGTTCCAGACTCCACATGAGCCTGTCAGATGCCACAAATGGCTTTTCCCAAGCATCTCCCAATAAACTGAGCCTCCGCAGCTGGAGTGGGCACCCTCCCCTCCCCTGGGGGGCCTCCTTTCATCGGAGGGAATCTGCTGAGGGAAGCGTGCTGGGTGGGAAGCGCCTCCCCCAGAAACACACAAGTGGGGCAGCCTCTCCCTGCATCCACCACCATCAGCACGCCACATGGCTTCTCTCAAGAACTGAGAGACACACACCCCTCTGCGCCACGGACACGCATTCCCACAACCCTCCCCAGCACATATATACATTCGCAGAAAGCTGCCCCGCCGCTCTGCTCAGTGGTTTCCCCCTCAAGCATAAGATCACTCCAGAAGGAAGGCTCCGTGGTCCATGGCAGCTCCTACGGCCAAAGACCTGCCGGGGAGGCCCTTTTCCAAACCACCTCTCCTTGGAGCGGCCTGCTTTGCAGGGCCGCAGCTACGTGCCCTCACCAAGCTCCGGCTTCCAAGGCCTCTGGGGGACTGCAGAGCACATCAAGAGAGGGCGGCAACCGCAGGCAGGAAGCCCTGGCGTGGCAGGCGTGCCGGGAGGAGGGGGGGGCACTCCACTGCACCGTACCAGGCGAGCGGCTCATGGGGGCTGAGACCAGAGCAGGAGGGGGCAGTCCCTCCCTGCCCCCGAGGCGTGTGCAGGCCGCCCAGCCTGCCCCCGGGGGCACAGAGCCAAAGCGGGGATCGCACTGGCACCGGAGAGCAGAGGCTTGCCTGACCTGATGATAAAGGCTCCTCGCATCTCCAGCAGCTTGCGGTCGCAACTGAACCTCTTCAGCAGGTTGATCATGAACTTGTAGAAGTAGGAGTTCATGGTGGGCGTTGACGGGGAGCACTCCATGCCCTTGGTCCCTGGAAGAGGGGCAAGGAGAAGCATCAGGAAGGGGCTGGCCTGAGCGGGCCACGGGAGGGGGTGCCAGGCCCACGGGAGGCCAGCATGGCTCCTTGCAAACGGCAGCAGCACCGCCGGCACACTCGGCTCAGTCTCCTCGCCCGGGGGCCACGCCTGCCGGCCCCCATGGGACAACAGCCCCTGGGTGGGGCCACGGTCTCTGGGCCCCTCACTGAACTGGCACAATGCCAGGCTCACCCGCTGACCTGCCCTGGGCAGGAAAGGCGGCCTGTCGCCACTGACAGGCCTGAGAGCTACCCCACGGAGGCCCTGGAGGACCGGCACTCTGGTCGGACAGCAGCTGCATGTGAGTCCACCACCGGGCCCCCGGGGGCCCCAGCCGCCCAGCACTCCGGAGGCACCCCCCCACACCCCGGCTGGCTCGTCCGGCATTTTGGCTTCTTTCTCCCTCAGCCACCCTTCAAGCAGCTTTTCCCCGACAACAGCTATCGCCTGTCTGGCGTCTCTGGGGGCACGCCACAGGCCGGGCAAGCCGCAAGAACTGCTGGGCTGCAGCGAGAAAGTTTCCCTGCCACGCAGCTCTTCTGCCCGGTCCCTGGCTGACACGCAGAAGGGCAGCTGAGGGCAGAAGTGTTGCTGATCTCATGGCCCCCTTCGTCCCCCTGAGGTGGTCCTGGGACAGGTGGGGGCACAGGTTAGGCTGCAGCCCCTCTGGCCCCTGGAGCTCCTAACGCAGGGCCCCCAAAGAGAGAGCAGCTGCTGAGGCTCTGCCCCCCACGGAGGCCAGACCGCTGCCAGGAAAAGCAGGACTGCTAAGTGAAACTTCATGTGCCGAAGCGGCTTTCCGGCGAGTTACTACAGGATGTTTTGTATTTCAGCTTTGTAAATGATATTGAGGGACACCACATGGGAAGACCAAAATAGACCAACTCCGAGAACAAACGCAGAACCGGCTGAGCCCCTCCCAGCTGCTCATCACAGCAGATGTGCACGCGCCAGTCTCCCACTCCACGGAAGCACAAGTGTGCCTCTGTCCGTGATGGCAGGAAGTGCGTGGACCTGGGCCCCACACGGCTCCACCCCAGCCAGCGCGCGCCACTGCCCAGCTGCAGCGGGCAAATGGAAGAGAGCCCACCCTCGGACTGGAGCGCCAAGGAAGCAGACTCCTGCCCCATGGCTGCCCTATTTGCCCCCAGTACAAACTGGGAACCAAATCCGTAAGCAGGAGGAGCACAGCAGGAGGCCTGGCAGACTGAGCACGGCAAGGACACACCCAGCCAGCTGGGTCCTGCCATGCCGCACAGCCGCCCGCTGCTGTGCCTGTTCCCAAAGGACAGGGCTGCCAGCCAGCTCCTGCTCCTTCTGGGACCCGAAGAGCCTGAACCACTGGGGGGACAGGCCCTGCTCCTGGGGGCTTGGCCTGGATTCACTCCCCCCCTCCCCCAACCAACAAAGCCCCAGATCCTTCGCCCAGGAAAAGCCACTGATATCGGGACACCCCTAGTCTCTCGACTGCAGCGTGCCAAGCCAAGGGGGCCCCCAGGATGCTGGCCTCCAGTGACGGCTGCCCCTGGGCTGCGAGAAGTGAGTGCCACAAGGCTCTTGGTTTCAGCGAGTCTGACCCAAATATTCTTTTATCTCCAGTCTGTCCCTGCAAACAGAAAGCCGGTTACAAGCGCTCGAGAATCAACAACAGCCAGAGGAGCTGGGAGCGGTGGGACCCCAGGGGTTGGGGCAGGCTGGCCTAGGAGGCCCACGGTCGTCAGGGGCGGGTGCCTACCAGATGCGCTGGCCTGGCCGGCCTTGCTTGGAGCAGGGATCGGCAGCTCCAGCTGCCCGGACCGCGCGCCATCCTGGGCCCCTCGGCCTTCCGTCTGGCCTGCTGGAGAGGAGGCAATCTCCGCCAATACCTCGAGGTCCTTGAGGATCACCTGAGGCAGGGAAAGAGGCCCATCAGGGAAGGCTGCTGGCAGGCGGAAGGGGACGGACCGGCAGGGTCCAAGGTGGCCCACGGAGCACCTGCATGCCACATGCCACGGTGCCCACCCGGCTGGGCCGGCCACCCCCCCCAAAAGGCGAGGCAAGTGGTGAGGCCAGGACGTCACAGCCGCGCCCTCCACCAGCCGTTCCCAGTAGCGCCTGCAAAGCATGGGAGCACAAAAAGGGACGGGAGGCCTCTCCGGGCCCCGCCTGCCCAGCCACGGGGGCCTCAATCGGCACCCTCCTCTAACAGCCACCTCCAAGGGAGTCCCGGACAGAGGCAACCGGGGGAGGGCTCTTCATGGAGGGCTCAACAGGAAGGGCAAGGATGAATTTCTGGCACGGCACGGCGCGGCTGTGGGGCAGGAGGGCGACTGCTCCAAATTAGCTGCGGTTCCGGGACTGGAGGCTGCTTTTGAGAATCCCGCAGGCTGCCCGGGACTTGGCGGCAGACAACCAACTGCCTGTCTCAGCGGCAGGGGCTGTGCAGGGCGCCTGTGGGCACGTACAGAACTGGGGGGGCCAGAGCAACAGAACCTGCCGCCATTGCCCGGGGGGAACTACGAAGATGGATGGGGGCAGCCTGCCAGGGACAGGCACTACAGGAACCCCCCCCACCCAGGCAGGACCCCCACGGGGGCCAATGGCAGCCCCCACCGCCCCGGAGGGGCTCTCTGGGGACAGGGCCGCGTGTCCCTCCACAGACCAGCTCCCAGGCCGCCTCTCCCGCACTCCCTTTGTGCAGGGAGAGCCACTGGCTGCTGGAGCGCACATGCCTCGTGTCGCCGTGGCGATGGGCCGGGCTCCAGGAAGGCCCATCCGCCAGGCCTGGCCAAGCAAGGGCACGGCAGAACTGCGGCGGGCTGAAGCCCGGGCAGGGGAGGGCTGGCGCCTGGTGACATGGCGCCCGCGAGGGGCTCCGGGCAGAGGGGGGTCGGCCACCCGAGGAGCTCTGGCCTGCGGCTCTCGCTGCTGTGGGACGCACCAGACAGCAGCAGGAGCACCGGCCAGGCGGCCACCCTGGGTCCCGCCATTCCACACCTTCCTCAGGCCCAGGAAAGTCGATTTCACTCCTTGCCAGCCCCAGGTGGCGTCTGAAGGGCCGCGTGGACGGGAAGAGGGCACGGACATGCGCGAAATGTACTGCATGCACGAGCGCAACGTTGTCCTCCAGCCCACCAAGCAGGGAGGCCCCTGCTCAATTCTGAGGTGTTTCACTTCGACCACACAGGCTGGAACGCTGCAACTAGGGCAGGTGGTTTCCCGCCCTTTGCCAAGCGCCCAAGACAGGGGATCCCGGGGAAAGGACTGCCTGCCATCCCACAAGAAACAGACCCCAAGCGGAGGTGCAAACAAGCCTTCCTGCGGGCAAGCAGCGCTTCCCCGGCCACACGTGCCTGGCCACCCTCCACGACTTCAGCTGCTCTGCAGATCTAGGTCAAGCAAATGAGCCACATGCTCTGGCGGAACCAGCATGGTGCTCGCGCCATGGCAAGCCCCCTCCGCTTGTGCACTCCCGCCGGGAGATCCTCACAAGAGCTGCGTGGCAACGCAAGGGGGCTCATGCGAGGGAGGCACTGGGCCGCCCCTCCACACGGGCACGGGCACCTTCGCGACTCTGCCCTGCCACGGGGACGGGGAGCAGGCTCCAGCCACACACGTCTGGCTGGCCAACCCACCTGGGGCAGCCAGCGGGCCGTCCTTTCCAGGGAGGCCTCGTCCCCCAGGGCTCTGCCCTTGTCCACCTCGGGCCTATGCCTGCTGTGCCCGAACCCACCTGGTCCTCCAGATGTCGCAAACTGAACTCCCATCAGCCTTGGCCAATGGGGCAACGGGGGCGTTGAGGCTGTGGGGAGGGTAGCCTGAAACAAGCTTTCCACAAAAAGCCTTTTCTGAGGAACGTGAACGATTCACTGCAGCCCAGCCTGGCAGGGGAGGCCCAGGAAAGAGAGGCGGCCCAGGCACTGGAACTCCGCCCACCCTGGAGCCCCAAAAGCACAACCCTCCCAGGCCCCCTAAAAATAGCCCCAAAGGAGCAAGCAGCCGCGATCTGCCGACATTCTCGAAGCAAAGCCTAAGCTTGCTGCCGGCACCTCGCTTCCCCCAAATCCCGAGGAGGGGCAGTCGCAACTGAGCCAAGCACAGAAGCAGCGGCTTGTCAGGGAGCCAGCGGCGGCTCACACCGCGCGGGACACGCAATGGAGCCCTGCCCCAGGAAGGACGAGAGCGTGCTTCGCCGCAGCCCGAAGGTCCCTCCGGCGGCCCCAAAAAGCAGCACAGGTCCTGCAGTGGGAGTGAGCCGAGTCACGCGAAGTTTGCCCACTGTTCTTTGTCACACAGCAAAGTCCCAAATCTCCTCTTTGGCAGCGGGAAGCCAGGACCCGGGGCAGTGCTGGGCTGCGGTCCAGCAAGGCACAAAGGAAAGCACACATGGACAAAGGCGGCCATTCAAGCGGGCCTTTGTTCAGCGTCACTGCAGGGGGATCCGCATCGCAAGGCAAAAGGCCCAGAGGACTGAGCACGAAGCCCCTTCCGCAGGAGCGGCTGCTGCAAGAGGCCCCAGGCTGCTGTGAGACGGGGAAGAGCCAGGCATGCCGGCCCGGCCCCGGAAAGGCCTGCGTGGGAAAGCCCCTCTCGCACCCACCCCCGCCAGCCACACTGGAGACCTGGGGGCACAAATGGTGGCCGCTCCAGCATCTTCAGACAACCTGGCAGGCTCCCCCATCAGAACTGGGAGCAAGTGCCTCCCTAGCCCCCACCCAAAGCAGGGCACCCCGTGCCCACTCCTGCTGCCCACGCCGAGCAGGGGCAAGCTCCCTGGGACGCCCCACCAGCTGGCCACAAGGGCCACCACACAGGGCCGGGCAAGGCCCGCCACCACCTGAGGTCCTGAGGGGCGAGCACTGCCCAAGGCCGCCCCTGGTAGAAGAGCCCTGTTTTCACCAACCTCAGATCAGGGCTGGCGGGGATGCAAGTCTCCAGGTGAGGCAGTGGCTGTACTGAACTGGTGCCTGGCCGAGGTAATGGGCTGGATGAGGGCCAACAAACTGAGCCTCTATCCAGAGAAGACAGAGGTCCTGTTGGTAGGCGGTTCGGGCTTCGGGGTACGGGACCTGGACCTTGCCCCGAATGGGGTAGCACTCCCTCTTAGGGACAGGGTCCGCAGCTTGGGAGTGCTCCTCGACCCAGAGCTGTCGTTGGAAGCTCAGGTGACAGCAGTGGCGAGGAGCGCTTTCCTTCAGCTTCGGCTGATCCATCAGCTGCGCCCCTACCTGGAGTACAACTGCCTGGCGACAGTGACACACGCGCTGGTGACTTCCCGCCTTGACTTCTGTAACGCGCTCTACGTGGGCCTGCCCTTGAAGATGGTCCGGATACTTCAGATAGTGCAAAATAGAGCTGCCAGTTTGCTGACGGGGACTGGGCGTTACTCTCATATAGCCCCAGTTCTCCGTCAGCTTCACTGGCTCCCCATCGAAGTCCGGGTCCAATTCAAGGTGCTGGTTATCACCTATAAAGCCCTTAACGGCTTGGGACCTGGATACCTAAAGGAGCGCCTGCGTCCGTATCTGCCCTCCCGCCCCGAGATCGGCGGCAGAGGCCCTCCTCCAGGAACCCTCCGTGAAAGATATTAGGAGGGTGAGCACCCGCAGGAGCGCTTTCTCTGCAGTGGCACCCTGCCTATGGAATGCGCTCCCCAGAGAGGTCCGCCTGGTGCCGTCGTTATTTGTTTTTCGGCGCCAGGCCAATACCTTTTTATTTAAACGTTATTTTACTTAATTGCTGATTATTTATTGGCTTTATATTATTTGCCAGGATGTTTCCAGTTTTTATGTATTTGTATTGATATTTGTTGGAAACCACCCCGAGGCTTATGCGAAGGGAGTGGCATATAAGAATTCCAAACAAACAAACAAGCAAATAAAAATAAATATATATATCTGGGCCTCTGCTTTAAGGGGAGAAATCGGGGAGGGCATCCCCAACCCCCGAGCATCAGCAACAAGGTTCCAGGCCGTGGCGGCAAAAGCAGACTTTGCACCAGTGGGCCTGGTGTCCTTGGAAGACGTGCAGTTCATGAGCCACGCTTGCTTCCTGCAGCCACCGAGGCCAGAGAAGCCGCACAGGGCGCCCAAGGATGGAGCCGCCCTTCCTCCCCATCTTTCTTGCACGGGGGCCTCGCAACTTGCACGCCTTGAAGGCAGCAACGTCTTGCATTCAGCCAGCGGCATGGGAACCGTTCCAGCAGACTTCTCAGCCAGGGAGAGCATGCTCAAAACAAACTGAAGAAATATGCGTACGAGAGCGCGCTGGGCCCCCACTGCTCTGGAGCACCCCTGTGCGCTGAGGCGGGGCTCCTGCAGGCAACAAGCGCTCCACTCTTTGGCACTGCTGGGCATGAATGGGACAAGAATCGCCATGCACGCCAGCCACCGAATCCTCCAGGAAGCGCTGCCTCCAAGCCAGGCTGCGAGCGACCGCCGGGGCTCTGACAGAGCGTGGCCCGGCCTGACGCAGCCGCTCTCTGACGCACAGCCTGGAACCGCTCCACACTGCCCTGCCCGAAGAGGCCCCTCCGCACCAGGGGCTCCCCTGTGCTCTGACATGCCAACCACCCTTCCTTCTGTGGACCCACAGGCAAAGCAGTTTTGCAGGGGTTGCATCCAACGCATCGCTTCGTTTCGCTCACCTCATCGGATTCGTCCGACAAGGTCTTCAGCAAAATGGGGAAGAGGCTTTCTGTGTGCCGGAACATCTGAAAGGGGAAAGGAGCCATCAAGGAGCGATCGCAGACCACGGGGCGGCCCAGTGCCAGGCTGAGCCCACGGCACCGGTGGCCTGAGAGCCTGCGAGGGAAAGGCCCCCCTCCCCAGAAGCCTCTGCAAAGTGACTTCGCCCCCCGGAAAAGGCGCCTCGGCCAAAACAGGCTGGCCGGTGCTTTTTCACCCAGAGCATACATGGCCTGGCTCTAACCCGCAGTCCTTCACAAACGGGCACTGAAATGGGACGCACCCCAAAATGGGGGTGTGGGAGGAGGGACCACACTGCCGCAAAGGGGGTGCAGCATGCTGCTCTACCACAGGCCAAGCGGCGCGGGCCGCCTGAGACATTTTGGGTGGTAACTTTTTCTGAGCATTTTATCCTTCTTCCACTTGACATGGTTGACTTTTACTCTTGCTCACCATGCCAAGGGCTCTGGCTCGCGGGCAGCCTCGAAGGTCAACAAACACACACGCAGGAGTTGCAAGAGAGCGGGCAGAACACCACGGGGAAGCGTGCCCCAGTGGGCTGGTTTCTGCCCCCTTCCATGCCCCCTGGGAGCAGGGGCACCTGTGCTTCGTGGAGCCCCTCATGCAGGAAGACCTAATGGGGTGGGTGAAATCGAAGCGGAGAGAGCTGCTGATCCACGTGCCTGCCAGAACTGCCCCCGGGAGCCTCCGGGGCCCAAGAGCTGCCTCCTCCACAAGGAACATCACCCTGCCGCTGGCAGCGCCTCTGCAGGGCCGTGGGCAGGCGGGCATGCCCAGGCGGCACAGAGCCGGCCAGGACTGCCCCAGGACTTTCCGCCCCAAGCAAGGGATGCACCCGACCGGCACCGACAGCGGCTCTTCATGGGCCAGATTGCTGGGCCGGCTGCCCAGCCTTGCCCACTGGAAGCAACGACTGCAGACAAGAGGCATCTTCTGGGGGCAGGGCGTGTGCCGCGACACCCCACGCTGACCCCTCTGCACACTTGCCCGGGTGGGCACAGCCCCATGCCAAGAGCGGGAGCCTCGGGGGAGCGGGGGCCACTCCTGCACAGGCCACACGCTCAGCTGCACAACTGGCAGTGCGGCAACAGCAACTTTAAAAGCAGCAGTCTGCCACCAACTCCTGCAGCAAAAGGCGTGCAGCCTGGCAACTCCGGGCCGGCCTGTTCGAGACCCCTGGCAACCTCTGCTGTTTCGCCCTCCTGCCAGCCTGATCCAGAAGCAAAGGAGACTCAGGAGAGGCGGCTGCTTGTTTCAGAACACAGACACCACAGCGGCAGCCAGGGGGGGGGCGGGTCCTGCCTCCCGCCAGGCCTTCCTGAGCGCCCCAATTGGGGGAGAAGCCCCAACAGAGCACCCACCCAACTGGTGCGAACGTGCCTTGCGAGGGGTCTTGATGAAGAGGTGGTACAGCCACTTCAGGACGGCAATGCGCGTCATCATCCCAATGGCCGAGTCACGCAGGTGGCAGTCTAGCACCTGGACAATTCCGTCCAGGTTCAGGGTGATGCGGATCCTGTCTGTGCTGCAAAGAAGGGACCCACAAACGAGGTTGCGCAGGTGCCCGGAGGAGGATGCCTGCCTCCGTGCCAGGGGGCGGCAGCTGGGTCGAGGACCAGGACTGCTCCCCTGGCACCCTCCTGCCTCCCCCTTCCGCCCCTTTAGCTGTTCTCCTCCTCCATTATGGGATGGCAACAGCAGAGAAGAGGGCCCGCACTCTCCTCAGAGGCAGCCCTCCAGATGTATGGGGAGTGCCACCTGGCTCCTCCCCAGATGGCTCTGAGCAGGCTAGGCACCCCCGGTCTTAGACTTGCGGGTGGGCCGGCGAAGGCCACTCAAAGGAGAACTTCCGAGGCAGCCACCCTGCCACGTGACCCCACCTGGGGCGGAACCTCCAGACCCGCACCCTTGCAGCACACGGAGAAAGGGGGTGCCTGGGACGGGGCCGTCCCATCAGGCCCCCTAGGGGCATGCCTCACAGTGTTCCCCTCCCCAGAGGCTGGGACGGGCACCGCGCAACGGCCCCGTGCCCTGAGGCGAGGCTGCCGCTGCTCCCCACCAGCCCCCAGGACTCCCTAAAACGCCCCGGCACAAAACCGAATGTGGCGCCCACAGACAGCCTGAGGCCGGCGTGCGTGGCTGCAGGGCCCAGGGGGACCAGGAGGCTTCCTATCCTGAGCACAGATCTGCTTTTACCCAGGGGCTTGCACAGGAAAGGACAGAGACCCCCACCGGAACCAGTTCCCAGCACCTGGAGGGCAAGGGGAGAGGAGCACCTTGGTGGGGGCCCTCCACCTTCCAGCCACACCAGGAAGGTGCAACCACAGGAAGGCCGCTTCTTCAGCTGCGGGGGGCTTCCTACCTGGCTGGTACAAAGACACTGGTGTTGCTGAAGGTCGCATCGCCGGAGGCGTCCAGGCAGCCTGCAGGGAGACCTGGCCGTTAGGGGGCCCCACTCCCACGCCTGGGGCAGGAGCGGTGCGGGGAGCAGGCCCGCTCCCCGGCCAGGGATTCCAGTGCGGATGGGGGCAGGCGCTGCTTCTTCCGTTCACAAGCGCTCAGCTCCATCGGGCAGCGAGGCGCCCACCCCTGCGCTCAGGTCTGCTCTGGCAGCCACAGAGTCAGCCTCCCAGGCGAGGCGGGATGGCCGCAGGATGGCACAGTAGAGCCAGCAGGAGAAGGCGGGAGCCTGGCCCACCGTGCTGGGCCAAAGCGCCCAGGCTCGAAGGGCCCGCACCACGCACGGACCAGCGCTTGCGCTTGGGGCCGGCTCTGCCCTAACGCGGCCAGAAGGCCAGACTCACCACCTGGGCCAGCCTCCGGCCTCGCGAGCGACTCGTCAGAATCCCCCTCCAAAGGGGGGGCTCCCGCACGCGGCTTGCCCTCGTCCGCCTCATCGTCCTCAGGGGTGACCAGCTTCATCAGGCTCTGGTTGCACACGTTGGCCACCTCCTTGATGCCTGGGCACAAGCACGCTAAGGAGCGGCCCCAAGGGCTGGATCCCAACCGCGGGGCGGGGGGGGCAGAGCAGCTCCGCTATCGAGGTGGGGGCAGCTGCAGCCACCCCCCCCATTCATTCCACATGCCCAACTCCACCACACACGGTGCCTTCCCCAGGCAGGGCCCCCGCAGGACCGCTGAGCCACAGCTCCCCTCCCGGGCCCCCTGCGGCTGAGGCCCCCCAGGGCAGTGAGTGCCCCCGCACACGCAGGGAACAGCACAGCTCGAGGAGGAGGGAGGGAGGCCTGGGGGGCAGGATACTCTTCTTCCGGTCGTCATAGGAGAGGCAGGGCAGGACGGCCGTCAGGATTCCCGAGGAATACGGCAGCATGATGCGGCCGGCCAGCTGGATGAACTCCCGCATCCAGCACATGGCGGTCAGCTGGATAAGGTCATCTGTGGACAGCGAAATGGAGGGGAAGGGTTCCTCCTGTGAACACAGAGGCCACCCCCCGCCCAACAGACTTGACTGAGCCGGGCCGCGCAGCGCCGGGCCAGATACAGTGGGGGCGATCAAGCTGTTCCCAGAGCAGAAGCCAAAGCTGTGGCTGCCCCCCCCACCCCCCGCTGGAACCCACCAAAACAACGCGAGCTCTGACACTGCAGAGAGAAAATACGTGTGCCCAACTTAACTCGATCGGAGCCCTTCTGTCAAGATGTTCTGGCAGAAAAACGCAGCCCATGAAAGCGAGGCAAAAGCAGGACAGTGCTCCATGAATGCGGAGAAATGAGTGGACACCCGCTACCAGGCCAGGGGGGGAGGAGAGAGGGAGAACAGCTTGGCCCCCACACCTCTAGTGCTCCCGTTCCACCAAAAATTCAGCAGAGCTGGGCAGCAGCTGCTCACCCTCCCAGGCTGGCTCCATTTTAAGAAATTGCCCACCGGCTTTAAATAGTCTTGGAAAGAAAGCCGGGTGGAAGGATGGACGGACAGACTGATGGGACGGATGCAACCGCCTCTCTCTGCCCCTCACCTGAGGCCTGGCAGTGGATTACCAGGATGTTGGCCATCTCTGCAAACTTGACGTTGGAAGGATTCTTCTTGATCTCTTTGAGAAACTCCCCGAGCGCCACTTCACACCTGCAAATGGGAAAAAGTGTCAGCGGTCCCAGCGTGGCTCCTGGCGCTCGTAACAGAGAAAGCAGAGGACTCGCCAGGCCCCTGCACAGCCCAGGCACACCGGGTCCCCAGGTTCCCAGCAGGGCAGTCCTGAGGGAGAGCCCAGTACCCCGCCCCACAAGCGAGGCCTCACAGACCGCAGCACAGGGCAAAGCCCCGGAGGAGCCTAGGCCGGAAAGGCCTGCTGGCTAGAGCTTTCCCCAGCCCAGTGCTCCAGATCTGCCGGGCTGCAGTCCCAGTGCTCCTGAGCCAAGGCTGCGCTGGGCTAGCTGGGGGTGAAGGAGCAGAGACGCCCACCGTGGGTGGACAGTCAGACACACGCAAATGCCAGAATCGCCCAGGACAGGCCGATCGATCCACGCCAGCAGCCGGCTCCTGCCAGAACTGCCGCCGGGAGCCCTGCAGGTTCAGATCAGCACAGTCTCCTGCTGCTTGCCCTGCAGATGCCGCCACCTGCTTCCTTCGGCTGAGCTCTGAGCGGGCCGAGGCAGCAACCCAAGGCTCCCCAACACCAGGGAGAGACAGAGAGGCTACAGTCCCACAACACCCAAGACAGCGTCACTGGTCACACTGGCCGGCACTGGTGGGAGTGGGAACCCCAAACCCCTGGGAGCCCAGGTGGGAGACTGCACCATGCCATGGCTGGGCCCCATGGGATGCAGTGGCCTCCTCCTCCTCCTCGCTTCTCCTCCCAGGCAGCCAGGATGACGACTTTGGATGCGCCGGCTGTAAGTTTTGACCAAGCGAATCACCACATCACCCATGCAAGACATTTGAGAAAACATGAAGTTTGTCCAGTTAGAAGCAAGCCAGCTTCAAACTAGAGTTTCTAAAACTCACTTCCTGCCTGCTTGTTGAAATTAACCATAGTTAGTGATGACCACAGTTGAAGCCAGTTGGCAGGGGAAGCTGGTTAATTAAAAGGGGAAGGGAGAGTTTCTCCAGCTCCTCGACCCAGGAGGTGGGAAGGTGAAACGTCAAGGCAAGACTCGACACAGCCTGTGAACATCCCCCTCAACCAAGGCTTAGCCTGACCTGGAAGTGCAGCTGAAGGGTCCTGCCCACGCCCATCTCCACACTCACATTTTACGGATCTCCTTGCTGTTGTCCCCCAGAATCTGGAAGAGGCCATCTAGAATCTCGGGCAGGTAATCCAGAAGATTGATATCAGGAACTGACTCCAGCACCAAGATCTAGCTCAGACCAAAGGAAGAAAGAAGAAGATACAGCGGTGAGGGGGAACTTGTGCAGGCCCGAACCCTCACCATGCCCAAGGGGCAAGCCAGGGGGCCAGCGGGGCTCACTGCCTGAGTAGCTGCAGGGGGGCAGGTGAGGGAAGGCAGGGGAAGCGGGCCTGCAGTGCCAGCATCGGGCAGGGCGGCTGCCGCAGCCCTCAGAGCCTCACACAAGCGTCCTTATGGGCAAACAAGGGCCTCCGAGCAGCCTCGCCACCCCAGGGCCCTCCAGAGACTCTGGACCACAACTCCCAGCCTCCTCCTCCAAGGATGGCATGTGAATTTTTGAATTAAAAGAAAAACAATTTGAATGTTAAAAAAACCCACCACAATGCAGGCACTTACCCAGGAAATGATGAACTGCCGCGCATACTGGTTGTTGGAGTAGATCCTCTCACGCAGCAACGGAATGAAGCTCACCAGGTCAAATTTGTTACTTTCTGTCACGATATCCTATAAAACCAGAAGCACAGATAAATACAATGGCCGACACTACGAAGCACACGCTTGGACTCCACAGAAAGCCACAATTTCAGGCCCTGGCGCAGGCATTTTGACCAGCTGTTGTGATCCACACCTGGCTTTGCTCAGTTGACACAAGGGTACTTTAACTTCTTCTCCCTATTATTTATAAGCTGCCCCTCAGCATCCCAATCCTTCCAAGGCAGCTTATAAGATGCATGAGAAACACTAACGTCACTGATTGTTGCTGATTTTTCCTTCGCATGTTAATACAACCTAGTACGCTTTGGCAACTTTTGAAATCCGAGGATCTGACTTAAGGAAGTTTGACAATGTGACTACATCTATACTGGTACCAGTGCCGGATTCTGCCCAAACTCAATTCTGGAAGCGTGCCAGCCATACCACCTTGGTGTCAGCTCTAGGAGGCCATGGGACCTCGTGTCTGGGAAGAAGCAGGTCAGAGAAACGGAGAACAAGGCCAAGCAAGCCCCAGCCTCAAGTGAGCATGCCTGCGTGCTGGGACCTCGGGCTCCAGCAAAGGCCCCACCTCACACTCCTGGCAAAGCCAACCTCTCATCCCCACCATCAGTGGTCAGAGGTGGCTTCCGCGGTGCACCGGAGAGCCGTGCCTGCTCCTACATGCTGTCTGGCCAGACGGAAGGGAACTCATTGCCTGCAAAGTGGCATCAAGCCATGCGCCAAGGCTGCTGGCTGCCGCTTTCCAGCTGGCCTTAAAGATTTCGTGGAGACTGTAATGAGGCCTCGCTGGACACATTTTGCAAGCAGCACATCCAGTTCTCATCTGACAGGCAGCTTTCTGTGGGTGCTCCATACCCAATTTATGATACTTTTAGACTGCCCCAAAACTCACATTCTCTAGACAAACATATCTAAATACTTTTAGCACTCCAAAAACATAAAGTGCCAGCAGTGAGAAGATGGATAAGATGTATGTTGCGAGTCCACCATAAGGCCAACATCCGTAAGAGTGCAGCGATACAAATGCTTCTTTAAATTCCTGGGGGAACGAGTGCGGCCTTCCCAGAACCCAAAGGAGGGCCCCCGTGCATGCAAAGCGCTCAAGCGGAAAAGGGTAAGCAGATTGCAGCCTTTTCCTGCAACTCCTGCTGGATGTTTTCCTGAGCTGGAGGCATATCCTGCAGAGGACCCCACATGCCACCCTATGGAAACCAATTCCCAGAGTTTTCCCTCTCAGCCATGTCACCATCCCAGCATCTGAAATCCCAATGCAGCGCCAAGTCGGTTTCACTCTGCAGTAAGAGAAGTACCTTCAGAAGCCGGTCCAGGAGTTCAGAGCCACTTTTTACATTTGGATCGGGATCTGCAGCAAGCTGCGGGGCCGGGGAGGAAAACAGGGAGAATGTCATTGGCAGAGCCACCGCATGAGGTGTCCCAGGTGAGGAGGTTCACGAGCACCACTGTGGGCTGGTTCTGGTGGCCCAGCAAAGTGCCTGACTGCCTTTGGCCCTAACGCTCTCCCCAAAGGGCAAGACCAGGGCCTGCTGCCTGGCAGAGTGTGGAGCAGAGCCAATGCAGTGGAGGGGTGGACTGGGATTCCGGAGTTCCCAGTTCTAGTCTCCACTTGGCCATGAGGTGCACTGGCTTGCCATCCCACAGGTGGGTGTGGGGATAAAATGGAGCAAGGGAGGATAATGCAAGTCACATTAGGTTCTTAGCTAGAAAAACGGAGGAACTGAAATCAAATAGGTGAGCAAGTATAAGCAGCGCTTGCAGAGATGTCAAAATAGTGAGGTCTCAAAGACCAGAACAAGCCAGGAGCCAGGGCCCACCCCACCCCTCACCGCAGTAAGGACCGCAGTTGCCGCAAGCAAGGCAGCTCGCCACGCCTATCTAGACAGAAGCATTTAAAAGTGCCTGGACTAAACCAAACAAAAAGTCCTAAGAAAAGCCTAGAGATCTTCAACAGCCAAATTAGTTTTAACTTAATTCAATATTAATTTAATTTTAAATTACATTAGAATCAGCTGCTGTAAAGCCAGCAAAGGACAAGAGAGGGTTCTGCATCTTTTGCATTCTCTTGCAGGGCTCTTCCTTGCCATTTCGCCTTTCTCCACCAACTGTAACTCCAGCAGAGCACTGCGAGAATCAACAAGTGCCCCCTGAAGGGCCCAAAGAAGGAACAGATCGGAGCAGCAGGTGTAGGCCTGCAGGTACTGTGCAGAGAAAGCCCTTTACCTTGCTCAGGCCATCAAACAACACGTTGAAGTGGGGCAAGACAGAGCCCCTGGCCACCTTCACAATGTTGTACAAGGCCTCACAGGCATAGTATCGCAAGCGGCTGTCAGCATCGTTGAAACACGTCAGCACCGGCTCAATCAGCTCCTTCAAATAAAGCCCAGAGTCCTAGCAAGAAAGCCACACAGGGAACGTCAGAGCCACCTAAAGGCATCCCTGCTTCTAGCATTCTGGCCCTGCAGCATCCAAGCAGTGGCCTGATGGAAAACCCAGGAGGGCAGCTGCTCATGGCATTCCAGGTATCCGCAGGAATTAATACAGCACCAGCCTCCTCTGTAAAAGAGACTAACTTCCTATGTCTCAAGGATAGCAGAGAATGCAAGAACAGCCGGCTCCACATGAGCAGGGGACCCTTTTCTTCTCACAGCAGCCCCCTCCCTGAACCTGAGATAAATGAAACCTTATTTATGTTGATTTTGTCACCTACTCTTCCTCAACTCGCATGCCCATCTGAAACACAGCTTTAGAATATCCTATGCCCAAGGCTTTCTCTTTCCTTTTTATGTTACTTCCCTAAATCTTGTCCATCCTTTGCTCCTGGCCTTAACCATTTTACTCATTTGGGAGCTGAGTAGCAATCGACCCTTCTGACAACCAAACAGCCACACCCCCAGCAGCCTGACAAGCCTCCTTGCCCGTGACACATTTTAGGTTGCAAATCCCATCCAAGACTGTTCACCTGACACACAGCTGCATGCCCTGCTGTGCCACACTCCACGGCCAAACAGTGCAGCTCATGGAACCAAAGAACAGCACAGCTGGGAGAGGCCACGGGAGCCATCAGGTCCGAGCCCCTGCTGTTGCAGGCCACCAATTCACACCCCACTCCAATGGCTGTCCAGTCCCCTTTCAATGTCCCCAGTGTGGGAGAGCCCACCACCTCTCTAGGCAGCTGGTTCCACTGTCCTATTGCACTGACAGGGAAGAAGCTTTTCCTGATATCGAGCCTGAACTAGGGCTGTAGCAACTCAGGCTGATTATTCCTTGTCCTACACTCTGCTACGAGCGGGAGATCTTGCTCTTACTCTCTGTGGCAGCCTTTAAGGCACTTATAAAGCAGCATTGTGTTCCCCCTCAGTCTTCTCTTAACCACCGTCCAACCCCGGTTGCCAAAGGTTTGGAGGCTCCTGCTTCACAATGCCAGGCTGAACAGGCAGAGGAAGGGGGGGAGGGAAGCTGCCCGCCCGGCAGGGTTCCTCAGCACATCCGACCCTGACCTGACCAGCGTTACGGCTGAAGCCAAGGAGCGGCTCCTGGGCCGTCCGGAAGCCCCACGCGCTCTTGGCCGCCTGGCTCACCTCCGCCACGCAAGAGAAACGCTTCCTTCGCCGCGGAGCCCGTGGGTGGGTCTGCGGGGCCCTCTTCAGGGCGGTCCGCCTCGGCGAAGCCCGGGGCCGGGCAGCGCCGCAGGGGGGCCACCTGCCCTCTCTCGGGAGGGCGCTACGGGCTGGGGGCCTGAGGGAGCGCCCGCAGGGCGGTCGGGGCGGGGGCCCGCGCCCATCGCCGGGCAGGCGGCGGGGCGGGGCGGGGCGGGCGGGGCGCCTACCTTGCCCAGGGCGATGGAGCAGGCGGCCAGCCCGATGAGCCCGCCCTTGCGGCTGTGCGGGTGCTGCGAGAGCGCGAACTCCTGCGACAGGATCTGGATCACGTGCTGGATTTGCGCCGTGCTGTTCTGCGCCACGAACTCGCGCACCAGCCTGGACGGGCAAAGAGCAGGGTCAGCTGAGCAGGGCAGAGCCGGGCGCCCATGCCCACGCGCCGCCCGCCCGGCCCGGGGACGGTGGCCTAAGGCTCGGCCGCTCAGGCGCCCGCCCGCGCCGGCTCACTTCTCGATGTCGAGCGCCGCCACCTTCCGTTTCTCGTAGAGCTTGTCGTTGAGGGAGCGCACGATGCCGGCCGTCAGCGGCGAGAAGTCCTTCTCCGGGTTCATGGCGCCCGCGGCGCCGCCTCAGCCACCCGCCCGTTTGCGGCCGGCCGGCCGCGCTCGCACCGGGAGGCGGGAGGGCGGAGAGGCGAAGCGGCGGCGTGCACGGCGCTCCGGCCGGACTCTCCCGCTCTCCTCCGGCCGGCGCTTCCTGCTTCCGGTGCAGGCCCCGCCCCCGCAGAGCGGAAGCAGCAGCCGGCGTGCCCGGAGGGCGTCATCGCGGCCGCCCCCCGGCAAGGAAGACTTTCAGGCCGCCACCGCCTTGCGCATGCGCCGCTCGCTCGTCGAGGGGGCGGGTCTCGCCCGCTGGTCCGCGGCAGCCGCGAAGGGAGCTGGCGGGAAGGCGCCCGGCCGCGGGCCAGCCTCCGGGGGCCGCGCAGCGCCAGCACCCTCTGGCTTCGGACTTCCCGGGATGTTGGCCGCAGGCGCCCTCTCGGCACGTGCTTGCGGTGGGGCTGCCTCCCCAAACCCGCTCTCTCAAGGCTCCTTAGGACAGTCGGCTTGTCGGAGCTGGCAAGGTCTGGGGCCTCAGTTTGGGGCCTGGCCCGTTCTTGCTGCAGCCTAATCCTGAGTGGCCCTGATCAAAGCCGCCTCATGACTGTTCTGGACTCTTGCTCCCCTCCTGACAAAAAGACGGAGGAAGGGAAGGCTTGGGATCAGGCCTTGGTGCAGATTAGCTAGGTTAAAGGAATAGCTTTGGTTTTGTTTAATGTCGCTTCTCTAGTCCTGCCCCCGTCAAAGCTCTTTAGATAATAACATTCTTTCTTCTAATTCGGATGGGAGGCATATATGCAGGTTTTGAGCACTTTCTTTTTGCATGTGGTCATGCCTCTCCATAATGTGAGGAAGGCATTTAATCTGCCCACTAGACCAGGGAGTTGCTGCGTGAAGGAACTAACACAACCTCCAGCTCCATCTCTTTCCATCCTGCAAGCCCTTCACTCTTGTGATGCTGGTTTGTGCACTTCAGGCTAGGCTACACCCCGACACACACAAGCACCATCAAATCCCCAGCCTGAGGAGCAGTCCAGCTGCTGTCACTGGCCACGGCTGTTCCGGCATGCCCACTTCCTTCTATGAATAGAACTGACTGCTATTTCACCCCATCACAGTCTTACAAGTTTTCAGACAGTTTGCTCTTCACCAGCCAGACTCACACGATTTGGTCGTGACAAACTTTTCAGCACCTGTTTCATTTAACAACTTTATTCCAAAATAAAGGCATACACAGTGAGACTTTCTGATTGGGGTTTAAGGCTTGCAGTCATCCTGCATCTCTGGCTGCTGCCTCGATTCACTCCCTCAGTGGAGTGACTTTTCTCTGAAACAATCTGTAGACGGGGAGGGAGTTCCCGGTTTGGTGTATGCCGCCTTTGTTGGGCAGGCAGGGCAGAACACACCTGTACTCCTCCCTCCTTGTCCCAGGGAGGCTGACAGAGGTTTTTCCATCTCCCCTCAAAGGCACAGAGGATCTGCTGCACTGAGAAAGGTGTGTATCACAAGAAGGCTCAGATGCCGAGGAACAAGGGATCCACCCTTGGTGGCCATGCCTGAGCAAGACGTGTCCCGATGTGGTCATTTCTCTGGCATGACACCCTTCAGGTAAAAAACCCAGGAGACCGCCGAGCCCAGCCCAGCTGCCCGAGGGCAGGAGACCACCAGCTTGCTGGTGACAGGGGCTTTGCTGCCACTGGGGTTCCCTTCGAAGGAGACTGTGATGGTGGCAGATTTCTTGGGGCGAATGGTCTCCGTGGCCCTGATGGTGAAGGCCGGATTCTCCACGAGGTATGTGAAGGCCATGGGCTGCATGAAGACGTTCTTGAAAGGGATGATGGTGCTGCTTCCGGCTCTGATTTGGATCGGCCCCTGCGGCTTGGGGGGTACACAGGTGCCAAAAAGAGGGATTGTGTAGTCGCCACCGATAGTTGAGGAAAGGAGGAGGACTCCCTTGGCTTCTCCCAGCTGGCAGGGCTCGAAGGTCACCTCCACAGCGACTTCAGTGCCTGCCTGAGACCCTGCAGGGGCGTTGATGACTTTGTCCACATGGAAGTCAGGACAGTCGATCTGCAGAGAGGCAACCCGTGCTATTCTTGCTGCTGCACTAGCGTCACAGGGTCAAGCAAGATGGTGCGCTGGCTCGACTCCAAAAACCAGCAGTCAGAACAAAAATCCAGCTTGGCCGCATGCTCACATCCAGGCCTGGTGCCTGGTCTTCTGCTCTCTCTTTCGCCCTTGGGGCGGAGGCGGGCAGTTTGTGGTCCCCCAGGTGTTGTTGGACTGCCACTCCTATCATCCTACACCACTGGCAATACTTGGTAGGGCCAAGGGAAGCTGCATTCCAGAAACTCTGGAAGGGTCACAAATTGCCCACCCCTGTCTTGGAGCACCTGGGAAACCAATTCCCAAACCCAGACATGGAAGAAAGGAATGTTTCTTACCATGAATTCTAGTTTTCAGGAGAAATGGTTTGAATTGCATTTGGGCAACTTGCAAAAGAGAAGCCAGCGTGATGGCACCAAGATTAAATCCAAGGACCAGAGAACCCAGGGGCTTAATGTGTGACGGAGGCTGACGCCTGGAAGGGAGCTGCAGTATGCTCGCTAGTCAACAACAGGCGACACACCTCCCTCCAGAAGATCCATAAAAAAAGAGTTTGCTGCAAGAAACTTCCCTTCCTCTTGTACTTTCTGGAGGGACTTCCAGACTCGAAGACTGACTTCCAGTCTGGGCTGTACAGACTCGAAGGTCTGCAGTGGGAATCCTAGGTGGAAATTGCCATGGAAGAACCAGCAAGGTGATGATGTCGGAAAGGTTCACAGAGGCACCTGCAGGGCCACCTGGCAAGACTCATCCACGGAAGGACCACAACAGGAGGCAGGCTGGGTAGCCACTGCTCAAGGCATGTGCTCCAACCTCCAACAGAGGTGATCCTAGGACTGGAGGACAAAAGTGACGCCCTCCCTGACCCAGAATTCCAGCTGAGTCTTGGCCTCTAGAAAGCGTGGCTTGGCAGGTAGCATTGCACAGCCTGGTCACAGGACAAGGGGCTAGCTACGGCTATCAAGATATCCAGGGAGGCCAAACCAAGCCAGTGCGATCTTCAAGCAGCCCGCCAGACCTTTCGAGCTGGGGTGCACGGAGGGAGCCCAGCTGAGATGGGGGACAGAAGAACTGTGGGCACCTTTGCAGGGCCTCCCAAAGCATTTTCTCCCATGCCGTGGGCTGAGAGACAGGCCTGCCTCAAAAGGGGCAGCGGCCTCCCGGCAGCCGGAGCCCGCAGGCACGAGGCTTCAGTTGATGCGCAGGCCAGCCTCAGCCTGGGCGACTGGTGCGGTGCGTGCAGAAGGTGGAGCTGTTCACCTGGAACCTGGAGGTTACACTGGTGAGACGGCTTCCCAGAACGCGGCCCTCCTCACCTTCGTCACGTACTCGGTTTTCTGCCGCGTATAGTTGACAAACTTGGTGACCATGGTCTGGCTGCTGCCCAGCATGGTGCAGAAGCAGAGCGCTTTCTCTGCCCGGGCAGGAGTGGCCTTCAGGGCCAGGTCGTACTGGAAGGAGCCCAGCTCACTGCTGTTCAGGGCCAGACGCCCACCTGTCTCTCCTGGCCGCATCGGCTGGAACTCAAACACAATCGTTCCCTGGGAAAGAGTGGAGAGAAATCCGATGGGGGGCTTCTCAGCCTCCCATGGGGTTTTGGCTGCTGGGCTTCCAGAAACGCCTCCAACCTGACTCCATACCTCCTCACCTGGAGAAGCATGACCACCCAGCCAGCCACACACTCGGTCTCACCTCTGCCTGAGGAAAGAGCAGTGGCCAACGGGAAAGGGGCAATCAGTGCCCAGCACCTTCCTGGGTTGTTGTCCTCAAGGCAGGGGAGGGATGGACGGATCTCCTCAAGCCAGGCAATTAGAAGGTACCTTCACAACTGAGGAGCAGGTACTCCAGATCCAAAAGGACCTGGAAAGACTATGGAAGTGGGCAGGAGACAACAGGATGGCATTCAATGTGGATAAGTGCAAGGTCTTGAACTTGGGGCATAGGAAGGGGTGTCATAAGTACAGGTTAGGGGACAAGTGGCTGGAGAGCAGCACTTGTGAAAGGGACCTCGGGGTGCTGCTTGACTGCAGGCTGAACATGGGTCAGCAGTGTGATGCGGTGGTCAAGAGGGCAAACACCACCCTTGGTGCATAGCCAGAAGTGTGGGTTCTAGATCGAGAGAGGTGTTACTACCACTCTATACGACTCTGGTGCGCCCACAACTGGAGTATTGTGCTCAGTTTTGGGCCCTTCATTACAGGAAGGATATAGCCAGGTTGGAGTCAGTGCAGTGTAGGACCACAAGGTTGGAGGCCGGTTTGCAGGGAAAGCTGTATGAGGGAACTGGGGCTCTTCAGCCTGGAGAAGAGGAGACTCAGAGGGGATCTGCTGGCGACATACAGGTATGGGAGGGGGTGCCATGCAGAGGTGGGTAGAGGCCTGTTCTTCCCTGCAGAGGAAGGCAGGACGCTCTCCAACGGAGCCAAGCTCAGGGAGCCAAGGTTCAGTTTGGATGCCAGGAAGCACTTCCTGACAGTCAGGACCCCGAGGGTGTGGAATGGGCTTCCCCAGGAGGTGGTTGAGGCCCCATCGGTGTGGGTGTTCAAAGATAGGCTGGACATGCACATGGAGGGCATGTTGTGAGCAGCGCTGGCTGAAGCCGGGGGTCAGACTGGATGGCCCAGGAGACCCCTTCTGTCTCGCTCGGTTTCTCTGTTTCTAAAGTGCAGTGGGAAGCAGCAGGGCGCCTGCCTCCAGCTGACCTTCGCTCCTGCCTGTTTTGCCCTCCCTATCACACCGCTTGCACAGGGTCAGAAGCAAAAAGGGGACAGTGAGTCCTGCCTGCAACCTGAAGGGACCCTGGGAAAAGAAGGGGGCACCTCCGGAGGAGGATGCAAAAGCAAAGAGCTGCTGAATGGCGTTCTGGTGGAGCCAGTCTGCAGGCTGGTGGGCAGGAGGTGGACAAGGGTGGGGAGGGGTCCACTAAAGGGCAGAGGAGGAAGGAGGCAGGGAATCACAGCAAGCAGCATGGGGAGCAGAGAGACCTGGGACATCCTCCCGCAGACGGAAGCTATCCAGGCTCTGAGAAGGGCCGCAGACAAAGCAAGGTCCAAGGGAAGAAGGCGGGCCGGAGGCAACAGCCATCGCTGCCCGGCTCACACCGAGGAGCCCAGCCTGTAGCGAGAGCCCAGCAGTGCTCGCCAGGCCCCGGGCAGCTCTCGGGCCACCCTCCTGGCCACACTAGGGGACTGCCATTCCTGCCTTTTGGCCATTGCAAGAGTGGCACTGCAGGATGGGAGCGATCTGGCCGGCAGCGTGTATTGCAAGAGCTGCCCGTGGCCCAGGGCCAGGCCTTAAAGGGCCGTCACCACCAGGGGAGTGGAGGGAGCCACCCTGCAGCAGGAAGGAAAGGTGAGAGCAAGAGGAGCTGCAACGATGGCCAGCGCTGTAAGAGAAGCGAAGCGGGGAAAGGCATTTTCAAAAGGCAAAGCCAAAAGCCGGGCCGGGGGGGGGGGGAGGAGGAGGAGGCGATCCTCTGTGCCTGTTTACTGACTGCAGCACTGAGACGCAGCTCTCCTGCCCTGGGCCTGTGTCCCCTCACTGCTCTTCTGGGACTTCCCGGGACTCCCCTCAAGGCAACTTCCTACCTCAGACTGAGCAGGAACGATGAACTGGGGGGGCAGGTTGATGTCGGGGACTTTGCAGTCAGTGCTAAAGGTCACTGGGTAGTGCAGGGGGTTCTCCACTTTCACTGAGGAGGAGGTACTCTGCCGGACAGCAGTCACCAGCTCAATTGTGCCGAGCGGGCCGCACGGGACGACCTTAAAGGTGATCAAGTAGAACAGGAACTCTTGGGTCGCTTCGTTACGGAAGGTCACCTGCAGTCATGGAAGGAGGTTGAGATGGGTCAGACAAAAGGACCTTGGCGAGGACTCCACTGAAGGTCCTGCTGAAACAAAATGCAGGCCGCATCGGGCCCGTCGTCTGGTTCCCCAGCCCGCTTCCCAGATGCACAGCCGGGCTCCTTCCTCCCGAGCCACTGTGCGAGAGGCAGCCCCCTGCGAGGCCAAGGAGCGGAACCTTCCGAACCGCAAGGGAACCGAGGCAAGGGTGGAAGGGAGAGTTTGTCCTCAGAAAAGAGGGAGTACAAAATGGGCCACGTGACTGGAAGCAGGGGCATGTGATTCTCAGCTGACAGCGGTTCTGTGGAAAAGCCATTGCAAAGTCTCCTGACACAGAGCTTCTGACCCATGGCGTGCCCTGGACCCCTCCTGCTTCTCCTTCACAACGAGCCTGACGCTCAGCTGGCCAAGAAAATCAGGAGCTGTCATCTGACGACGCTGGCACCTCCCAGAAGGCCGAGTGACGACGGAGAGCTGTGGCGACCCTTGTGGGCCTCCCCTGACACAGGCCTCAGTTGCTCTCCGGATTCTCTGCCACTGCTTCGGTGGGGTGGAGTAAGCAGCCCGCGCCCAGTGGCACCCCGAGGGGATGCGCCCTTACCTTGGCGCTGTACATGCCTTCCTTGTACGAGAAGAAGCTGAGCTTGTGGTCCTTCTTGGCGGAGGCAGGCACCTCCACATAGTCCAGGGTTTTCAGGGTCGTCGTAGCTTCCAGCCTTTCTGGTTTCAGCATGTCGACAGTCACGCGGAACCTGGCCACAAAGGGACAGCACCTATTCGGCCATGTGTGGCTTTCCCCCGTCCATTTTGGTGCTGTGCAAGACCTGAATCCTGCTGCCCATCTAGGCAGCGGGACCCTCATGCCAGCACCCCCGTGCACAGCCCCCCCCCCCTCTCCACCCACACCTTGGCACCGAGCCCACACCCCCCCCCCCCCCCCCATCGCCCCCCCCCCCCCCCCCCCCCGCCTCTCCCACTGACCTTTGGGGCTTGTTCAGCCAGTTGGAGATGGGAAACAGTTCGGTGTAGGCTGTTTTGCAAGGAACCTCCCTCATGATGTTCCCAGAAGACTTGGGAGGCTCGGCAGTGCCTTGCAGGAGGTACAGCAGCCCCGTCCCATCGGGGAGTGGGAAGAAGATGGAGCCCTGCAGGCAGGAGGAGGCATTAGAGGCGTGCGCCCCACTCCTGGCCGCATTTCCCTCTTGTCGTACATAGGATGTGCGGGGACAAGGTCCCCACAGCAACTGCCCTGAGGCACTGGGGCTGCTTTCTCCAGGCGGCTGGGCCACGTCTCCCGGGTTCTGTTGGCCGAAGACGCTGGGAGCGGCACTGAGTCATCTGGAGGGCACTAGCCTGTCTGTGTGTGAGAGCACTCCAGTGCCTTTAACCTTCCTCCAGGTCCCTGGTGGCTACGACCTGAGGCCCGCCCCGTGTGACGCACCCTCTTCCCTGCGCCGCTGCCAGCCCACCTGGTCCTTCTTGCTCTCTGCGTTCATGGCCAGCGGCTGGTAGGTGATCTCGTAGGGCTTGTTCTGCTGGTGGGATTCCACCCGCAGGAACTCGGGCCCCTTCCACTGCTCCCCCTCGATGACGGGCCGCAGGGTCCAGGGCTGGTTGGTCCGGTTGGAGAGCATGATGGTCTGCGTTTGCTTTGTGCGCACCTGGCATGTGAAACTCACCACCTGCAAGGGAGGGCCTTGCCATTCTTTCCCGCCCAGCCCACAGGCGGAGCACCTCGGCACTCCTGGCACGCAGGGGCCCAGCACGGCCACTCCCCTGCTGGCTCCTGCAGGCCAAGATGCTCGCCAGGCCCCTCCCCACACTGCCACTGCGTCACCTCTGGGCCTTGGCACACTGCCACTCAGGAAGTCCAGTCCCAGGGACAGTGCACTGGGGAACGACGCAGCGGGAGCGCGTGGCCCGTTTTCCACACGGAAATGTGAGGACATGGATGCGACCTCAGAGGCGCTTCACGGGGCAGTCACGCCCAAGCCTGACCGGCAGGTCAGCTCTTCCCAGGAAAGAGGGGCGCCCCTGCTGCCTTTGCCCTGCAGGTCACCTCTTTGACCGGGGGGACTCCCACGCAGCACCCGCTCAGGGTGAGCTTGAGCGGCTCCCTGCCTTGGATCTGGCACTGCAGGTTCTCGTAGCAGATGTCCTGACTCTGCTCGCAGGGATGGAATGTCACTTCGAAGGAGACGTCCATCCCTGGGGAGACGTAGCCCTCCACAGGCTTGATAGAGAAGTCCGGCTGGAAGCTCTTGGCATCCCATTTAAACCTAGGGAAGGGAAGGGA